GGGCAAAAAAATGTATCTTTAAGCTTTTATTTCGTTATTTATTTATTTATTTATGTTTTTTTTCCATACTGACAGTTTTTCTATTTTATATATTATGGTTATATATGCACGCACGTATCTATTATTATTGTTCACCTTGCATGATTAATGCCATTTTCACTCATACATACTATTACAGAGATACCTTTCTAAATGTACCCATAATGACTAAGCTTCTAAAACATCGTACATTTAAAGAACAATATGAATAAGTGCATGTACAGGAGTCACATATATACTTGGGCCAGAAATTGAGAGTGTATTTAGAGAGGTGGAGCATTAGAGAGGTTTCTCTATACTTATGCTATCTGATTAATGCTACTTTCGTTCACATATCGCTACCACTTTCGTATATCGTAATTGTTCTTGCTGCATCATAATTTTTCCTGTTGCATGTTGATACCATTTTCGCTCACACATATTATTACTCATGTTGCATGATTGATGCTCTACATTCGCTTGCACATCGTTACCACTTTCAATCATATGCTTTATCACATATATTGTAATTGTTCTTGCTGTATGTTGATACCACTTTTGTTCACACATACTATTACGCATGTTGCATGATTGATGCTACTTTCGTTTACACATCACTATCACTTTCATTTCTATACTTTATCTCATATATCGTAATTGTTCTTGCTGCATTGCAATTTTCCTGTTACATGTTGATAACACTTTTGCTCACATGTTTCACTTTTTTTTTTATTCATTTTGGGTATATAATAGAAAAGAATAGTCAGGTTTTGTGAAAATTCGATAAACTATCTACAGAATTTTCTGGTTTTCAATTATCGGGATAGGCATTTAACCTTCAAAACAAATTAGGAATATACTTGACGATTGTTTCAGGTGGAAGAGACATTGTTCATATATTTTCGTTGCTGAAAAGTGAAATTCTATATAATTTGGAATTTAATCATATTTTTAGAGCAACTACACAATTATAATGCATTTTTTTTTTCAATTATATTACGTACGTATGTTGCTGGAAATTTAAAAACCTTATATTAAATAAAAAATAGCCCGCTCTAATATATTATCAATTATTATCAGCATAGGCTTGTTTTTAAGTTTCAACAGTATGCAGGATAGGTACGCCATACGCATTATTCTTGGTATATTTCTATGCAGGGTTTTAAATTTCTGCATCGTCATACATATTAACAATTTCGATCGATCGCTTGGACCCATGATTTGCAAAATTTGTAACACACTAGCATTCAAACCACTTGAAACTAGAGTAAGTATATATTAAATAATGGTATCGCTAATATCAAAGTTAATTAAGCTTCGCGTCATTGAAAGCTATTTTCTAAGTATATGATTATGAATTTATAAAACCTATTTCTTATATTTAATTCATACGGAATACAACATAATGGAATCTTTCCTAATGTTCTTTCATTTCTAGCCATAAAATCATCCACAGCATCGCCAGGGCAAAAATTGACATGTGATTAAAAATGTATTCCTTAAAGTACGTACGGTGCAGGGCATTTAAAACCCTCAATCTCTCTATATAGAGATATTGCATTAATGGTAGCACATTGAAAATAAAATTTTTCTTAAATTATCAATTTCAAGAAAGTGAAGGATCTAGAATTCTCAAATTCTCTGCATAAAAATCATATGCCAAGAATAATATGTACTTAATAGCAACTATTGTATGCATGTTTCTGAGACTTAAAATAAGCCAATACTGAATTTAGCCTGTTTTCAATGCGTTAGTTTGATCTTTATTCTATATGAAGTGTTTGAGGTTTTTGAGAAGGAATGACTACCGGGGTAGAGACTAAAATTAAACAATCAAACAACTTACACAACAAAATCTATTCAATGACCGCTCAAGACTCTAAAACCTTGAGGTTATAAGGCGTGGAAAGACTTAGTCTTGCTGCGGTGCAACTGGAGATTAGAATAAGTATCTACTTTTATTCTGCTTAGATTTGCTATACTCAATACTTCAATTCAATACCAATTCCAAATTCCTTTTTTTCTTAATTTTAGTGCGGAAGTGTTTCAATTTACTAACTCGAACGTTGACACTTGTCACGGGATCGGAGTAATAACGGATTTCAGATCTGGATTTAACTTCCGATCATGAATTTTGGTTCACGATTGTCATGCAATCACGGGTCTCTGAATTATGTCACGGGTTCGAATATCAAATAATAAGTAGCTGCGCGACATTGTCATGCTAAACTAGGAACGGACAAATATTAGATTCATTAAGAATTATGAGTTATAGTTTTGAATTCAGATAAATAAATATCGGGTATACAAGTAAATACAGCATAACTATATTGATATGAGACACTACAATTTAAACAAACAAAAAATTTCATAAGATTTTTATATGTATTAGTATAGATTGTAAAATACCTCTTTAAAAAACATATCATTGCAATCCACTACAATTTTCTGATAATAACCTTAATAATACATAACGCCGGAACAAATATTAAAAATAGGGGCATTTCACACCCTATACCGTACAGATCCGTTCATAATAATCTGCATAATTTAGAAATGTTCTTGATAGTGATAATTATACGGATAAAAAGCTAAATGAGATGTGAATATCTCATATTAAATACTTAGACCAATAAATAATCACTAAACTTAGACTAAGGGTACTCTCAATGTGATTGGATAGATATCGAGATCATGCATAAGTACTACGATTATTTCTGTAAATGAAGCGATCCCTATTGTAATTTTGCTAAAGTCTAACAAAAAAAGATGGCTTCAAACTTTTTTTTTATCGCGAAAATGAATCAAATTATCGGTTAAACTACTTTCCGAGTTCCGACCTATAATAATATTTTATGTGCTTGAGAGAACCTTAAACTATATGAATGAAAATTGAAACGAGAAATTATTACGTATATTGATTGATAATGTTTGATTAAATAAGAAAATACTTAATTGAAATATCATATGAAAACCTAACATTATATGACAAAGAGTTTCGTAGATCAACTTCAACCTATTAAAGATTTTTAGAGCTGTTAACACTTGTATGACTTCTTTAAATACTATATTGCTTTAAAATCATTATTACTGTAGTAACGTAATAATATTTAATGCAAAGCTTATCGATATTATTTACTACAACTTGAGCCATGGCCAAGTCATGCAACACCATAGCTTAAGTTGTGGCTCATCGGCTTTGATCGGCTTGACTCAATTGTGTAGCTAAAACCGCTTCAGTATTTTGGTTAGTCAATTCCGAAGGACAATAATATTGACAAATTTGGAAGTATACTGTAATACATATTGTGGTATTAAGATAACATGAAAAAGCAATCCAATCAGATTCACAGATTCGGATACACCCTTTCACTTGCTGTTAAACCATACTCTACATACTTTGTACTCCGTTCCTGGTACAATAATGAAATCAAGGGTTTTATCAGTGTATTATCTTTATATTAAAGGGGGGTTCTTATTATTAATTAAATTTTTCTTTCTTTTTGTTAAGCTTTTACTAACAATCAACAAAGGTTATAGGGACAGGAAAATGTAACAACTCATTTATAGTTGTTAGACAAAACCATGTGATAATCATTGCCTGTCATAAAATATCAAAATAGAAGCTATGTCAAAATTTTCTCTAATTTGAGCAACAACCACTTGACTAAATTCGATAAAATTTTTTTTATTCAAATTTTGTGAATTCAGAAAATTCAAATAAAAAAGGTTTTATCGAATTTGGTTTGGTGGGTGTCAGGATATCTTAGTTCAAAATTAGAGAAAAAATTTTGTACAGCTTCTATTTTGTTAAGGAGTTTGATTTTTCTTTAACTTTGAGTGAAGATATCTCAATAACTATCTGACTAAATTCAATGAAAATTATTTTTATCCAAATTCTATAAATCAATAGGATTTAAATAAAAAAAGTTTTATTGATAATTATCAAGATACTTTTACTTAAAGTTTTGAAAATTCTTAGGTATATGATCATGTGATGGCCTGGATAAAATAGAATTGGCCTAATTAAAATACTAAATTTCTATTGTTTACTATATATAATGTTTTTTTTTAATACTATATAAATATTTTAAAAAGAGAGGGGGGGGGTTATGTTAAACAGAAAATTAAATTGGTGTGGCCTAACTAATGGAAAATTTTCCTAAATAAAAATTAAAGCCCAATAAAAGAATTACTTCATAGAGTAACTATGTTATTTTTCATGGGTTGAAAGCCATTTAGTAGTATTATTAACAGTGGTAACTATGCCCCATCCATATCCTATGTTCAATAAAGCTGCCTTTTGGGCAATAAATTGTTTTAGGAATTTTTAAACAAATTTTTTCTTCTATAAAAAACTTTCATACCTCATGCATCTCTTTAGTATCCGTAGCAGTCGCATCCTCAAGAAAGACAATATCATAATTCTCATCAAAAGCCCCTATAAAATTATTATTAGCATCATTATTTCCACTTCATCTTATATCAACGAAAATACTCACTTTTGGCAGTTGTCTCACAGCATAAGTTTGTTTTAACACCAGAAATGATGAGTGTTTTTATACCGAGGGAGGTGAGAAAGGAATCAAGTTCAGTCTTATAGAAAGCATCATAGCGAGTTTTACTCTTGATGATAAAGTCAAGGGTACCAATTGAAGTTGGTGATCGCTAAATTAATGTTAATGTTAACATTAATGAATATTATGTGTCTCAATTCAACAATCAAAACTTACTTCAACAATTGAATCTAATTCTTTAAAAATTTGCCATTTTTCAGATCCTCGCATTAACATTTCATCTTTATTTTTCCACTTAAAAATATATTTATTATTATTTTCATTTTATTTATATTTTATTTTATTATTTTTTACATGAATTTATAAATATAAAAATAATAATTAAATACCCATCGTGCCAAGGCGCCTCCATCGAGTTCAACATTCATATGACCATGCTGAGTCCATAAAACTGGAATTCCTTTCTTATGACAAGTTAGAACGATAGACTTTACGTTTGGAATAATTTTATCGACTACGTCACTACGAAAAAATTCCTATTAAGAATTATTTAAAGTTTTATATTGTTTAAATATATTTCTTATAACTTACTTGCATATCAATAACTAATAAGGCAGCCTTTTCAGGATCGTAAGGAATAGAATCTGACATTTCGTTCTACTGTGTGGGAACTATTCGTACACACCACATCGAGGTATTTATACGTATCAGTATTTTGTGTATCACGGTGCATTATGCAACCAAGAATACAAAATTTAATTGGTTACTAATTTACTAATTAACGTTAACATTAATAACAAAAAAGAACAAGGACAGTTTTTTTTTTTTGGTCATAGTAAAAACGTCAAAATAGAAATAATTGACGTTATAAAACCAATATAACTGTGGAATTATAGAATTAACAAAAGGCGAATTCCAAAATGCCCAATACTCGATTATTGCCCCATAGGCAAAATCATGTATTTAAGATTTATGATGAAATAAAAAATTATGCTAGCTCCAGTACACCTGATAGAGAATGTCAAAAAGTTTATTTTCTTAATATAATACCAAAAAACAATGAACTTAATGAAAGTGAAAAGAATTATTGCCAAGAAATGTTCATACGTAATTATGAATTGCATAATGTAATTCATAAATTTGGTGAGCCTATTACATGTAAAAACTGTAAATCTACGAGATATTCCATCAGATATTGTGAAGTCTGTATTAAGCAATACTTACAAAAATCTTTTAGAACCTGGACATCTGGAAATAGAATTGTTGACGAATTTATTCAAAAATGTCAATTAATTTCGTCAGTTCCGCCATATATTATAGAGTGGATTCCTTTTGAGCAATTTAAAGATGTCGAGTATTTAACTAAAGGTGGCTTTAGCACTGTTTATACTGCAACATGGCCTAGAGGAAGCATTTATGATTGGGATGAAAACAAAAAAATGTTTATTTACTTTGAATATTTTGGACCTCAAAAGGTAGTATTAAAATCCTTAAATAATTCAAATTATCCAGGAAAAGATTTTTTTGATGAGGTTTGTAATAAATTTTTATAAGATATAAATTATATGAAATATTAATTTTAAAGTTAATAAATTATATACTTCTAGGCAATTAATTATTTTAAGATTCAATCAAATTCGATTGTTTATTGTCACGGGATAACTAGATTTCCTGAGAATGGAAATTATATGATAGTAATGAATAGTCATCCAGAAGGAAATTTAAGAAATTATTTAAAAGTTAATAATTCATCCTTAAATTTAAAGAATAGGATTTCAATTTTTAGATGTTTATGCATGTCATTATATGATATACATAAAAAAAATTTAGTACATTGCGATTTACATAGCGGCAATATATTAATGGAGTCGAGTAATTGTTTTATTACAGATTTAGGTTTTTGTGGGCCAGTTGATGAAAAATCATCAAAAGAAGTTTACGGGATCATACCATATATTGCACCAGAAGTATTTGAAAGAAGAAAACATACAAAAGAATCAGATATTTATAGTGTTGGGATGTTATTATGGGAAATATTTTCAGGTTGTCCACCCTTTGATGATAGACCACATGACACTCAGTTAATCATAGAAATATGCAATGGATTGAGGCCACTACCTCCACAAAGTATCCCTACATGCTTCGTTGGAATAATGCAAAAATGCTGGAATGCTGATCCACTTAAAAGGCCAACTATTGAAAAGCTTTGTGAATTCGCTAATTATGAATTTGTAAATATATATAAAGATGGAAAATCCATTTTAATTTCACCAAATTCTAATCTAGAAAAAATAAATAAACCACATCCATTTGCATCTTCATCAAGTAGAATATTAAGTGGGATTATTCCGAAATCAATTAGAATTTCAAACTATGTTACTTCACAGTATGATTTTACATTATCTGAAGAAATGTCCGAATTTCAAAATGATGAATCACAATAATTTATTAACCTTATTGAACGTAGTTACAGTATTTATTATAATTATTTTTTATTTTTATTTGTTATTTGTAAGGAACGAACTGTTTCCGTTAATAAATTTGGGACTAGTTGCTTATTTAAATATCTTATAAAATTAGATTTTATTATCGTCTTATTAAACTCTATTCTTTAAGAATTCGATTTAAATGGAAGTGTTAAAGTTTTTTTATTTCTTGTTTTAAAAAATTATTAATAAAGAAATTAAAGTTAAATAACTAAGTGTTTTTTAATAATTATACGTACTATTTTAGTGTCTAATTAAATATTATTATTATTATTTACAAACCTATCGTTGTTCGTACATTTTATAGCAGAGTTTTACAAAGGTACTTTTTGATGCAATTCATTTATTAAAATCAAAAGAGTAACTTTGAACTTTCTGTCACACGTGATGAAAGTTCAAAGTTACTATTTTGATTTTAATAAATAAGTTGCATCAAAAAACGTAACTTTTGTACATCCATAGGAATTTGTCGTCGCTGAGCGTTACTAAAACTCTTGTTCTTCAGTAATTTTCGCCTCAATCGAATACCTACTGCGATATCCATTGTGTCCTAATTAGATTCATTTACGGACTTGTACGTACACAGAATCAACCTTATCGGTGTGATTGCAGATCTGATAGTGTCAAATGGTAAGACATTTGGACCAATCCGTGCAATGTGGCTAGTGAAAAAAAGTAGTTTTAGGATTGTCTCACCATATAATGTTCTTAGCCGAAGAAAAATAACATGGAATGTCCTGATAGAATCAATTAGCCACAATAGTGGCTAGCGTGTAACCATAAAAATTCATACGTAATACTTACACAAATATATCATAGTACACAACAAAATAATCACACGTGTCACAATCCATATTACACAAATTGATATTATTTAAAATTTAAAATTTATCGTTATATTTTTTAAATCAATTTAGACAACTTGGCTATTTTGAATAGTACGTAAGTTATAAAGATGATTTATTAATCATAAAATTAGCTGGATACATTAATTTGAAAACAGCTATGATAAATAATTAATATTT